GGCAAGTGGGGAATATTCCACCATGCTCCTAACTTGCGTTTTCTAGATGGTGGAGGCTTTAGGGAGTCAGGTGGTGAGTTACTCGCCGCAGTATTCCAGCTTTTTACCTATTCTTGTAGCCACTGTACACAGTGAGTCCAGTTGAGTTTCTGGTCAATGATAACCCCCAGGATGTTGATAGTGGAGATTTCAAAGATGGTACCGCCATTGAATGTCAGCGGGCGATGATCTGATTGACTCTTAATGGAAGTGATCATTGCTTGGGATTTGTGTGGCATGAATGTTACTTGCCAGTTGTCAGCCCAAGCCTGGAAACTTTCCAAGTCTTGTTGCATTTGGACATGGACTGCTTCAGCATCTGGGAAGTCACAAATGGTGTTGAATATTATGCAATCATCAGTGAACATCCCCACTTCTGACCTTACGAAGAAGGGAAGGTCGTTGATTAAGCAACTGAAGATGGTTGTGCTTAAGACACTACCCTGAGGAACTCCTGCAGTGATGATCAGGAACGGACCTCCAGCAACCATAACCATCTTCCTATGTGTCAGGTATGACTCCAACCAGCAGACAGTTTGCCCCAATTCCCATTGATTCCAGTGTTGTGAGGGCTCTTCGATGCCATGCTCAGCTTGTTGCATTGATGTCAAAGACTAACACAATCATGTCACCTCTGGAATTCAGCCCTTTTGTCTATGTTTGAACCAAGGTTGTAAAGAGGTCAGGTGCCAAGTGGCTCTGGCAGAACCCAAATGGAGTGTCGATAAGAAGGCTGTTGCTGAGAAAATGCTGGTTCATAACTCTGACACCTTCCATCATTTTACTGATCGAGAGTAAAATGACTGGGTTGGATTTGTCCTGCTTTTCATGTCCAGGACTTGCCTGGGCAATCTTCCACATTTTTGAAGAAATGCCAGTGTTGTAGCTGTATTGGAACATCTTGGCGAGGAGTGTGGCACATTCTGCAGCACAAATCTTTAATGCTATTGCCAGGGCCCATTGCCTCCAACCATTTCTTGATATTACGTGGAATGAATTGAATTGGCCGAAAGCTGAAGACTAATGCTGGGGACCACTGGAGAAGGTCAAGATCAATCATCCACTTGGCATTTTGGGCTGAAAATTGTTGTGAATGCTTCAGCCTTATCTTTTGCACTAAGGTGCAGGGCTCTTCGATTATTGAGAATGGGGATATTTATGGAGCCTTCTGCTACAGAGTTCTTTAATTGTCCACTACCATTCCCAATTGGATATGACAAAACTGCAGAGCTTAGACTGGATCCATTGGTTGTGGGATCGCTTAGTTCTGTCGATCACTTGCTGCTTATGCTGTTTGGCATGCATGTAGTCTTGTTTGATAGCTGCATCAGGTTGACACCTCACTTTTAGGAATGACCGAGGATGCTCCTGGCTTGTCCTGGATTCTCCATTGAACCAAGGTTGATCCTTTGGCTTGATGGTAATGGTTGAGTGGGGTTATGCTGAGCCATGAAGAGTACAATTCTGTTGCTGTTGATGGCCCACAGCAGCTCATGGATGTCCAGTCTTGAATTGCTAGCCCTGTTTGAGGTCTGTCCCATTTAACATGTTGATAATGCCACACAACACAAGGTAAGATATTCTCTATGTGAAAGTGGGACTTAGTCTCCAAAAGGACTATGTGGTAGTCACTCTTACCAATACTTTCATGGGCAGATGCACCTGCATTAAGCAGATTGGTGAGGATTAGTTATGTTTTTACCCTCTTTTTGGTTTCCTCACCACCTATCACAGACCCGGTCTAGTGTTATGTCCTTTAGATTCCAGCTGCCAAGTCACTCATGGTGGTAGACATAGAAGTCTCCCACTCAGAGTACATTTTACGCCCTTGCCACCCTCAGTGTTTCCACCAAGTAGTGTTCAACATGGAGGTGTACCGATTCATCAGCTAAGGGAGTACAGAACATGGTAATCAGGAGGTTGCCTTGCCCACGTATGGCTTACTGTGATGAGAGTTCATGATGTCCAAAGTCAATGTTGAGGACCCCCAGGACAATTTCCAACTGCATACCACTGTGCCATCATCTCTGCTGAGTCTGTCCTACTGGTGGGAGAAGACATATCCAGGGATGCTCATAGTGGTACCTGGGGAATTGCCCGTCAGCTAGGATTCCATGAGTATGACTATGTCAGGCTGTTGCTTGACTAGACTGCTCTCCCAATTTTGGCACTCAACCACGGATGTTAGGTAAGAGGACTGTGCAGCATCAATAGGGCTGTTGTCGTTTCCAGTGCCTAGATTGATGCCAGAGGGTCCTTCCAGTTTTATTTCTTTGTTGAGACTTTGTAACAATTGATGCAACTGAATGGCTTGCTAAGCCATTTCAGAGGGTATTTGAGAATCAATCACATTGGTGTGTCTCTGGAATCATATGCAAGCAGACCATGTGAGGATGGTATATTTCCTTCCAGGGAATCATAGAACCCCTACAGAGTGGAAGCAGGTTAGTAGGCCCATCAAGTCCACACCACCCCACCCACTCCACCCCTATAACACCGCATTTCCCACAGCTAACCTACACATCCCCGGACACTATGGGCAATTTGGCATGGCCAATCCACCTAACCTACACATCTTTAGGCTGTGGGAGGAAAACACAGCACCCAAAAGAAACCCACACAGATAGGGAGAATGTGCAAACTCCACACAGTCAGTCAGCAAGAATGGAATCGAACCCAGGTTCCTAAACCACTATGCCACCCTAGGACCTTAGTGAACCAAAGGTGTTTTTCCAACAATTGACAATGGTTTCATTGTCATCAGTAGATTCTGAATTCCAGATTATATTTTACGGAATTCAATTGTACCATCTTCTGTGACGGGATCAAACCAGAGTTCCAGAACATTGGCTGAGTTTCTGCACGAACGTTCTTGTGATAATATAATTATTTGTTGTGAACTTTTAAAAAATTTCCAACAATTCTATTTTCAAAAGGAACATATGTTATTTTGAGATAACACAGTGTGGAGCTGGAGGAACACAGCAGGCCAGGCAGCATCAGAGGAGCAGGAAAGCTGATGTTTCGGGTCGGGACCCTTCTTCAGAAAATCTCAATTACGCTGGCCTCCCGTGTTCCTCCAGCTCCACGCTGTGTTACCTCTGACTCCAGCATCGGCGGCTCTTACTATCTCTGAGTGAGTTATAACCCCACTGCGAAGCCTCTTCTAGGGATGCCTACCTTGAAGTTATCCTCCTCCCTCCGGAAAGACCTCAGTGGATCTCTCTCCCTCTGGTAATCTCTTCGGCCCTGAAATTGCTCAACCACATACTGAAGCAAACCGTGTACTACAGCCACATTGCCTTTCTCAGTACCTGTCTGGCCTGCTGTGTTCCTCCAGCTCCACACTGTTATCTCTGACTCCAGCATCGGCTGTTCTTACTTTCTCTGAATATGTTATTTTGAGGAGTTAAAGACCATATGATCCTCAGTGAAAATATCAGTGTCTTTGGTTGATACCCACGAATACACTTTGAAAGAAACAACTGAGAATAGAAATGCAGATTGATTCTTTTCTTTCGGGGCTCAGTAGGCCAAGACAAAAAGTAGTATCTTTATGAGCATCCTTGCTCAGATGATCATAGGCCAAAGATTAAACCAGAAACCTTCCCTATATGTATGAATCTCACCAAAAGTATTACTCAATATTAAACTAAGCAGTTTAATATTTGTCACTATCATGAGACAAGCTGAAAGAAGTATGTTTTTATCTTCCAGCCTTTCCACTGAAAACACGTTTGCCTTCAGTTATTCATCTGAAGAAACGTGCATATGTTGCACTAAACTGCAGAACAATCACTTCTCTTTTACAGTACAGTAACAGTATTAAAATGGATATACATTTTTATAACATTGCTTTACAGATTAGATTTGGATACTCCCACTAACTAAATAATACAATGAAGCAATTGGGAGTTTGTACAATTGAAAAAGGTGCTCAATACAATAAAATTACACTTAAGAGTCTTCTTGCAAAACATTCATAAATAAATTACGTTTCAGAATTGAGGAGCTTTGTGCTCATAACTTAGAAATAGATTGCAGAAAGGAAATCGAACATAGATTGCATGTAAGCAAAGTTAATTTCCCAATACTGTGTATAGAAATTTATCAAATTACATTTTCTTACTTAGTACATGCAATAAAATCCTTGTCCATTAAAAACCATGTACATCTAAAAGGGGAGCAACAGAAACCAACTTCCTTACCAGCTGATGCAAGTCAAATTCTGAAGGCAAACAAGACATTAGCAATAAATCACAATAGATTATACTAGAATATTTAAGGTGAGCAGAATTTGTCACATTGAGGAATATCTACTCGAGCACAGATATCAGTGGTGGGACAGACATTTCCCCCTTTTATGTGAAAATGATTAACTCCACAAATAATAATGAGTTACTTAATATCATTCAAATACTGTATACTTCTTCCACATTCTGAATTATCAAATATAATGTGACTAACTATCAACCCTCCATTTCAGTGCAAAGATGGCATTTGAAACTCCTGAATGCAAATTACACTTGACCATAAATCTTTCTAACATGTTAGAAGTGCAATTTTGCTTATTCTTCCTCGAACTAAAATTTATAAGATTTGAACTCTAAATCATTTTAGTGAAGCATTAAGGATTACAGTGACCGGGTATGCACTGCAAGAAAATTCAACCCAGAATGAAAGTACACCTTGTTTTGAATATGTCTGATCATTTTTATTTAACGGAGGCACTCAGTGGAAAACAAACAGCTGCAACTTAACTTCTGTCAGACGACATCTGGTGCAAAAACTGCATACTGGTATTACTGGAAATGCTCTTTTAAATTGACTAATTTCATGTGATCTTCCCATTTAGATTTTATTTTGCTAAAAATAGATTAATGTTCAATCAATGTTTCACTAACAAGTAAAAGCTAATTTTAATCTCTCTCAATTATTTTTGGAAGGAAAAAAGTACTTACCTTGACCCTTGTGGTTTACTTCCTTGGCAGCAATTACTTTATTTATCACAGTCTGAAGGAAGTCATTCTCCCCTGCCACCCTGGATGAAAAACGGGATGATATGTTCAGCTGCTTGTGTCGAATGGCGTCATCCAATGCTAGCCTGGAGGATGCACATGACGACCAACACCACAGAAAACAGAAGGGCCACACAAACCAGAATTCACAGTACAAGGGGACACAAAATATCATTGCATAAATGCAACACATGGTTATCATCAGCCAACGCAAGGGACAGGACAGATGGATAACAAGAAAGACATAGGAAGATCATTATTCAAGAAATTGCTGATTGCACGAGAGTAAATGCAAATCTGCGACACTACTGCCAACATTAAAATAGACTACCATAACCCCATCCCCCACAATACTTTGAAAAGAACCACCCAGTATCCACAGAAAATACAAAATCTGAATGCATACAAGACTACTTTCCTATTACAATAGAACAATCAAAATTAAAATTCAAACAAGTGTATTTTCAGTAACTGAACAATAACCCCACACACACACACACACAGAGGATCCATCCACCTGCATGGAATTCATCCCTTTCGGATCAATATATCTAATCTTAAGTTTTATGCATTACATTGAAAAATGTTTTGGATCCTGATTAACCAGCATCTACACCCTTCCCATTTCAATAGTATTGCCAACAAATTATTCCATTCACCTCCCAAACCCATGAACAACCCAAGATAAGGGAAGCAGATGCATGGGACCACCACCATGACAAGGTTCCCTCTAAGCCACACAGCATCCTGACTTGCAACTATATTATCTAATCTTCACAGTTGTTGAGTCAAAGTCATGGACCTTGCTTCCTAACACCACTAAAAACTGCAGCAGTTCAAGAAGGCAGCTCACCATCATCTTCTCTAGGGCAATTAATGAAGAGCAATAAATGCTAACCTAGCCAGGGACATCCATTTCTCATGAACAATTCCTTTCCAAGTCTATTTTTTTAAAATCTCCTTCACTACGTTACTTTCAATGGAAACGCTGTAAAGTTGATTCCACCTTCCACAAATCAGATGTAACAGTGACACTACTGAACAGGCAGAGTGGCAGAAATACACCAAATATTTTGAAAGGCAGCTCGCTACATAATGGTAAGGGGAAACCAAGAACACCTTATAATATTATTGCTCTGACTTCACTACATATATTGCTGCCATGGGTAACCAATGGTCCACATTTGGCGACAATTTGAGAGAATTCTCCATTGACAAGTTAAATCAATTCCCTATTTAGCATAAATTATATTTGTTGGCAGTAATCAACCAAGTTCAACACAAAATGTATGTTTTTCTCAAGTCTAGACAAAGCCCAAATACATGCTTCAAATAAACCATCATTCAGCACTTTAGGAAATTTATACTTTCAAGTTGGCTATAACTTTTGCCTTGACATTTATCTACATTTTAAGTTCTACATTCTTCTATTCATTCTACTGAAATTTTCTAATTTTTTTTTCCACAAAAATAGCATTAACATCTGAGAACATCAGCCAGAAACATAGCTTAAACTAGTGGAATCTCCCACTCTCAAAACTTCAAACTCCACCACTAATTAACCTAATTCCAACACTAATTTACAGCAGACCTATGTTATAACCCCAATCACAATTATGTTGAATAGAACACAATGACAGCTGAGTTTAAAACAGACTCCAATATTTCAGCTAGCTTTTTTTAAGCATGAACAAGAAGAACATAAAAAGAATAAGCAAGGACATGTAGGCAGAGTATCCTACATTACTATGCAGCAATAGTCAAAGAATTGTGCAAGCGCATAATAAACTCAAGAAAATGTAGAAGGACCTAAAATTAGGAATGAAAGCTGGACATAGTTAGCATAAATTAAATCAACTGAAGTGTAGCCTACCACAAACAGATAAAATGTGTTTTTTTTAAATAAAGAGCTAACAAGGAGATCAGACTGTCTTAACAATCGGCTTTTAACGATCATTAATTTATATGTTATGCATAAAGTTATGTGATAATGGACAGCCATGGTTTAATAGGATACTTATTAAATTTGAGATTTTAATCATCAGATTTCTGGATTTTTATTTGCTTTCACCTGATAAAATGACAATTACTCCAAAAAAAGTGCCACATTAGAAAACAAAGGGCCCCCAACTTGGAAGGATGTTCCACTTCCAAGAACTAATTATATTATCCAGCAGGTGGCCAATTCCAGCAACACTACCAGTAGTGCTGGAACTATATCCAGTCCTAGCAAAGAACCAGGATCTGGCTGACACTAAAATTAGGGTCGGCAGGGGGTAGGGGAAGCAGGGAGGGAGGGAGTGGGGGGGGGAGGGGTCCCATTCAGAAAAGGGGACTTATCAATGAGACTTTTTACAGCCACCGCCCACCAAGAGATTTCAAGATAAGGAAGCATTACATTTGTTCGTAGAAAATACTGATCTTCATTCCATGTTTAGATATTATGGTATCATATATACACAAAGCACTGCAATGTTGTTATCCAGCTAGGAAAAATTCTCCCACATCATGAAAATGCTAATTTTACAATATAGGCCTTTAGGCCATTATGGATTTATAGAGCGAACTAATACAATAATAGAATTTTCAATGCATTTGTCATGTTACTCACAAAATCAAACACATTGACATTGCATTGCAATTTACACACTTTACAGATACCCTTAAACATTGAAACATATTGATAATATTAAACAAATATTTGGTCAAAGATTGAGAGCTAATAAGATTTAAAATACTTACGGTTGGAATGGAATAAAATGTTGTTTGTCCTCATCATCCACTTTCCCAGTAATAATGTCAGTGACATCCATAACTGAAATAATAATACAGAAAAAGTTAATGCGAGAGGGGACTTTACCTCAGTGATACAGAGGTAGAGTAAGTATAGCTAGGGAATTTGGTTCACGGTGGAAATTTAACTGGTGTAACTTTTCCAAATTCGTTTTAGAAATAAAGTCAATTCAGACAGCAGCCTTTAACTAAATTTTAAAAAGCCTAATTAAAACGAGGCAATTGCATGACAATGGCAGGTAGCTTCCAAACAATTGAAATCCTTTGCCTAAATAAAGTACTGACTACTGTAGCTAAGAAGTGGCTCTGAGTAGATCCATATATGAAAGGGATTTTTTTCAATTTAAAAGATTACAATGTAGAAAATGCACTGCAGTGATTCACCATGTTCGTTCAATTGCACATTCCACCATGCCTACCTATAGGTATGGAAAGTTTACTTCTTGCAGTAAACTTTAATTAAAAGCACCTCTGTATACCATTGCACCAAATCCCACTTTGAATCTACTTCACTCAGCCTTTTTCTCAGTCAGATGGAGTCACTGCTCACGTTGACTATGCTCCTTGCTGACCATGTGATGCAACAAATCCCTTTCTTATATGGATCTACTCAGATGCATTGGAACACCACCATCTGCAAGTTGCTTTCAAGTCACACAACATCCTGATTTAGAATTATATCACCACTTTTTCACCATCACTGGGTCAATAACCTGAAACACCCCTTCTAATAGCACTATGGGTGTAGCTATACCTCAACAACTGCAATTGTTAAAGGAGGCAGCTCACTACCACCTTCACAACAGCAATTAAAGATGGACAACAAAGGCTGGCCCATCCAACAACACCCATATCCTGTGAATGAATAATTTTTTAAAATCTGAAGACTCCAGCTGATGGTGCATCAGCACTGGCATGTTCCTTGTCTACAAGTGGCTGTGTGGAAGACATAGGATATTATTAGAATATACTTTTAGTTCTTTTCCTTGACTATTATTAAATAATCACTCCAAATGTTAACAATTTCAACAGCCACGTATTTCAAAAGACTGACACTCTACATCTACTTCGGTTCCTGTGAAAATGAATGCAAAGTAAAATCTAGAATTTAGTGAAGTCGTTTTTTGACAAAATGAGATCCAATTGCCTTCAATTCACTTATCCTGCACATATGTGCTTTTTATTTATAATGCAATGTGTGCAGCAAAAGTCCAATATTTTATTTCAAACAGCTCCTGATAAATTGAATAGTATTAGCAAGGTTTAATGCTGCATTCTGATTTATGAATTCAAGTAGAAATAATCAGATCGACCCTATGCAGCACTGAGTCTGATTGTGCTAATACAGCCTGTCCTGTCTTCCAAATAGCAAATGCTAACATGCATTTGTTAAGTACAATTAATGGTTCATTGAGTTCTTGCATGGCATTCTGTTTAATACTTGAAATCCCAATTGAAATATTAAACAAATTAAACTTTATTACTGCCATCTAATATTCACACAAATAAAACAATTTCTCTCAAATGTTAATTTATACTAATCAGATTTTTAAAAGCTAGCAATTCTTGAAACTACTACTGCTCAAAAGTTTGAAAGGGTTCAAAACAAAAATAAATGATGACTTCTGAAAAAAAATATATAAGTTATGAAGCTTTTGAGATGGCAATTAAGTTATTAATGCTTTCTCAGTAGTCCAACTACTGGACCCCTTCCTTAAGGAATCATGCAGAAAATTATTTAAGAACCAGTTTACGTAAAACCATAGCAAACAAACAGCTTTTACAGAAGACATCATACAGAAAGTACGTTTTGAGAGGCCACTTGAAAAAAGTTACAATTTATAAAGTGCAATCTCATTTCTTTTATAGAAAGGCAAAATATTCCCAGATATGAATGACCAATAGTTATCCATACAAATGCCTTTTATGCAATATTCTGTTTTTAGTAATTATAATTGTTGCTAGATACTGACAGCTCCCTACTGAAAACCACAGATCACTTATATTCTGTGAAAAATTTTAAATCTTATCAAAATATAAAATTTGCATCCACGGATAGAAAGATAATTGAAGAAATATGATAAATTGATTATCATTTGTTATTACTAAAATAGGTTTAATGCAGAATGGTTATAAAAGTCATAATCCACATGGCAATGGTGTTATTCTGCCGCACACTTTAGGTATTCAGTCAACTGTACTCAAGCGTTTTGGTATTAGTGAAGGGACAGCAAAAGATTTAAGTGTCAGTTGAGCTTAGATTTCTTGAACAGCTCTTCTACCACATTTCTTGTTTACATATTGAAATGCATTGATGCTAAAATACAGAAATAGACCCAGTCAATCCACATCTCACTGTATTATTTACCCTGTTCTAATATGCATTCATCGTATCTCCTTCCATTTGGCTACGCAATCAGCATATTTGAATTACTTACTCACTTTGTCAACTGTAGATTAAACACTTAAATGCCTGCATATTATTGGAAAATGCTATTGATTACATGCAAAACCCTCAAAAATGCACATTTCACATATACCCCTACTAGTTGTAATGTTTAGTAAATTAATTGAAAATTTGAAAGTTGCTCAAAGAAAAATAACATTTATATTACTCAATAGTCCAAATTTAGTTATTTATATATTTTGTGTTTTGACCGAGCCTTTACCTGCCACTCCAAAGGGTCTTCTCAACCCTGTAGTGAATTTCTTGGTATTGTTGTCTTTCAGCTCCATGCGACCCACTCTGATAATTTGACACACAAAGCTAATTTTTTCTCTCTTAAGATCTTTGCTGCCAAGATCCTACGCAAAAATAGGAAAATATGGCAAATAAAATATTCCAGTTCAAATGAGACATACAGACACATTCAAAGTATATAACCTCTCTTTTCCCTTCACAGGTGCTGACTGCTATGGCAATCTCACCTCTTGAGTCAGAAGGTTCCAGTTCAAGTCCCATTCCAGGACTTGAGCACAAACAGCAAAGCTGAAAGTCCGGTGCAGTACTGCACCATCATATGTGCTGTTTCTCGGCTGAGATGTTAAACGGGTGGCCTCATCTGCTCTCTCAAGTGAGCGATAAAAGGTCCTTGGCAATGATTCAAAGAAAAACAGAGTTAGGCCAAAATCCTAGCTAATATTTATACCTCAAATCAACATCACTAAAACAGATTAGCTAGCTACTACCACATTGTTGTTTGAGGGCTTGCTGCACACAGATTAGGAGCCGCCTTTCCTACAATTCTTCAAAGACTACACATCATAATAACGAATGGGGTGAAATGTGTTTTTGTGATATATCCAGTAGTTATGTATGGTGCTAAATAAATGCACTTTGTGAACTTGTAGCGTTTTTTTAAATTTGAGCAAACATACTCACTTTACACAAAATAGCTTTTCATTTAAAAAGTCTAAATGCATATTCTACTTAAAATATAACATTAAGGTTGATTTTCTTTTCCATTGATTGTCTGAAATAACACCTGACATTGCTTTCAGCTAACTAATTATACATTTTACCATGGGATTAAAACTTAACCTGCGCAGTCATTTGAATTAAGCACACAAAATTATTTTGGCAAACAAACTCTTCGCTTACAATAGAGTCTTTAAAAGCCCTTAATATTTCATGCTAAGCAGTAAAGATCACCTTAGCATGATGAGTTTAAGACTGATGTTAAAGGACAATTACATCTAAGGAAATGATGCATCTTCACAGATACACATTTGAGTCAAGTCTAAGCCAGCTTGCTGTACTTAGCACAGCACAGTAAGTTTTATTACAAAAATGCAACTTGAAAATCAACAATTTGATGAAAGATTTTTTTTTCTGCAAATATCACAGCATGGTCAAGGCTGCATCTTGCAGATCCGTAAACCAAGGGACCTTGATCACCATAAGAATTGCATAGTGGTCAATCCTAACAAGGGCAGATGCATCCATGAAAGACAGACTGGTGAGGGTCAGATGAAGTAAATTTTTGCCTCACTGGTTTCTTCATCACCTGCCATAGACCTAACCCAGCAGATACATCCTTTAAGACTCAGCCAGCTCAGTCAGTAGAAGACTGCTTGCGTCACTTTAAAATTGGATATTGAAGACCCCATCTCGAGTACACTCAGTCCTTCTTGCAAAAGGTGCTCAATATGGAGAAACAATGATTCGTCAGCTGAGGGACTGTGGTATAGGGTACTAACTAGCAAGAGAGTTTCTTGCCCATATTTCACCTGATGTTGTATCTCTCTTGGGGCAGACAGTCAATGTTGAGGATTTCTGGGTTCACTTTCTTTTGACTGTACAGCACTCTGCTGCTATCTCTGATTCCTGCCTGTTGGACAGGACATACCCAGAGATAGTGATAGAGGATTCTGGGACATTGTCTCTAAAGTATGATTCAGCATGTATGACTGTTTCAAGATATTCTTGAATAGTCTTGTGGGACAGGTGCTCCCATTTTAGTCTGGTTCTCCAAAGGTTAGTGAGGATCAATTTATAGGAGTTGACTGGACGGACAAACAAACCTTTAAAACTTCCAGTTTCTAGGACAATACTGGGTAGTCTGTCCAGTTTTATTCTGATTTGACTTCACATAATATTTAATACAAAAATGGCTGGCTAGGTCTCTGCAAGGGAAATTATGAGTCATATATGGGTCAGACCAGGTAAGGTTGTGAGGTTTCTTTCCAGGAGAGACTTTTGATAATCAGAAGTATTTTTATGATCATTTGGTTGTTTCATGATCACTATTACTTAGACTCGCAATTTGTTCCAGATTTAATTAAGTGAATTTAAATTCTCCTGGCTGCCTTGTCTCATGAGCAACAGGCCAGCATAACCACTTTGCTGCAATTCCCTACTCTCCTGAACGGAAGAGCTTTAATTGTATCATGACAACCTCAAGAAATTGATCAATGAGCATAATGTATGTAAACTAAATGGCTGGCTAGATGCAAAATTTGAATTTTTTTTAAAAATAATTCTCTAGTTGTACAGTCTTTTTTTAAAAACAAATATCAGATTGTAACACTTTTAAAATCTTCCAACCTAAATCTAACCAGATAAAGCTTATGCAAAGCTTCAATCACATTTCTGTCTCTTAACCAATAGCAAGGGATTAATTACATCATAATCCCTGGAATGTCAAATTAAGTTAAAGTGAACAATCAGAAAAAAAAACAAACATACCAGCACTAAAACTTTATCAAACTACTACCCAACTAGAAAGATTTGAGAAAGGTGAAAATAGCTTACAGTAAACACAGCTTTTAGGTTGTTTAGTCGGTCTATGTCTTTTGGAAGGCCCGAGCTTGCCCATCGCACTAGATAGTTCTCACTGCAGAGGAAAAAATAATTTTTATATTTTGATGCTCCTGACAAACACATGTAGTCCTCACTACACCTACTATCCATTAGTAAATAACACTGCAAATGAAAGTATGTATTCCTATCAAATTAAAACCATGATATTAGACTGACATTCTGCTAAAATGAACTGTGGAATGCAAAACCATATTCAAAATATAATCTCTCAAGTTTATTAACACTACTTCACAGTAGGCATGTATTCAGAAATGCACATTTTAAACGTACTTTCAATTGCTATCCCAAAAATGCACTTTATTTTAGAAAGCAAAGCTAGGAAACAAAACAAGCAAGGACCATGGGTGAGAACAATCATGAATTAATCCTTTAATTAAATTAATGATCGAGTATTTTGGAATTGCCTGGGACATGCAATTACAAAGCCCAGTAACTGGCTATTTGACCCAACAGTTCAATGCCAATGTTTAGGCTTTACCAGAGACTGCTTCATCTAATCCCATCAATACATCTTCCTATTCCTTTCTTCATCACGTGCTCATGTCTAGCTTCCCCCTAAATGTATCTTTCCTACTTACCTCAACTACTTCTTTTGGTAATGAATTCCACATTCCAACCACACTGGAGGAAGAAATGTGAGTATTACATGTGAGTCCTTATTAAAGGTCCTTTTTTTAAATCCAAGTATATTATGTCTTCTAATACTACCTAGAAGAATGAGCTGTAATCCAACTGAAGTATACAAGATTCTGATGGGCTTTGACAAGGTAGACACTGAAACATGGATTTACCTAGCTCTGGCACCTAAAACAATAGAGTACAATCTCAAATTAAGTGGTTAATCATTTAGAATTGCAATGAGGTGAAAACTCTTCAAAAAGAGTTCTGCATCTTTAGAATAGTCTACTGAGGGTTCTGGATGCACTATGTATATTTAAAACTGAGAGGACAGACTTTTGGTCACCTCAGAGAATCAAGGAATAAAAGGAAATAGCCAAGAGAATGAAGTTGAGGCAGGATTATTCAATGACAGAACATGGTTGGACAGACTGTGTCACTTATTGCTGCCATTTCTTAAGTGTTTATATTGTATTTCCAATTGATTCAATAGAAATTGTTCAAGAATGCCCTTTCCTCTTGAATGCCATTCTGACTACTCTTTATTATGCTTTCAATTTCTAATTTCTTTTCATACATCTTTGAGTAAGGATTTCATAACCTTTCCCATTATCTGCATGAAGTTAATTGGACTATAGTTCACTTGACTTGCTCATCACCCCTTTTAAATAAAAGGTATTATAAGAGTTGTTGGTTACTCATTTAACATTATTCCTTTCTCTAATGAATTTGTATGTATGTGTAATAGCTTCACTGCTATCTCTCCCCTAACGCATTCCCACATACACGGATGCAATCCATCTGGACACTGGGTTATATCTTCTCTAACACTGATTTAAGTTTTCAATTATCTTTTCCCCTTTTTAATCTTGTATGTGTCTCCGTTGTTTTTTTGATCTCTTTTTAACCTCATGCATTTCTAATCTCACTGGCAAACACGAAGAGAAAGCAACCGTTACACTTTCGTAATTTCACTGACATCACTTGAGTTATTAAGCATGTCCTTCAACCGGATGACTCTTTTGTTATTTGTGTAGATCCAATAACGTTTATTTCTATATTCCTTAATGACTTAATTTCTGTCTTCCTAATTATTTTTTAAGACTTAGCATTTTATGTAGCTTTTGTTATCCTCTCTTTTGTGGTATGTTTTTTTTTTCCCCTTCTTCATAGAATCCCTAGAGTGTGGAAACAGGCCATTCGGTCCAACCAGTCCACACCGCCCCTCCGAAGAGTATCCCACCCTGACCCATTCCCCTACCCCTGCATTTCACATGTCTAACCCAAACATCCCTGGGTACTGCGGGCAATTTAGCATAGCCAATCCACCTACCCTGCACATCTTTGAACTGTGGAAGGAAACCGGAGCATCTGGATGAAACCCACGCAGACACAGGGAGAATGTGCAAACTCCAAACAGACAGTCACCCGAGGCTGGAATCGAACCCGGGTCCCCGGCAGCAGTGCTAACCACTGAGCCACCGTGCCGCTTGCTTTTGCATTTTACTCAGATTTCTCCTAGATTCTATTGACCAATAGTTTAAATTTTCCCACTGCTATTCTATTTCTTTGCCTACAAGAAAGGCGGGATAGGCGGAGTCTTCTTCCATTGGAATTTAGAAGGTTGAGGCGATCTGGTTGGGGTTTATAAAATAATGAAAGGTATGGAGAGAATTAATGGTAGTTGTCTTTTCCCTAGGATGGGTGATTTCGAGACTAGTGGACATAGTGAGAGGAGAAAAATTTAAAAATGACATGAGAGGCAAACATTTTACAGAGAGGATGGTTCGCCTGTGGAATGAACTTCCTGAGGAAGTGGTGGATGCAGGTACAATTATAACATTTAAAAGACATTTGGATAGGTACATGAATAGGAAAGGTTTGGAGGGATAAGAGCCAGGAGCAGGCAGGTGGGACTAGTTTAGTTTGGGACTATGTTCAGCATGGACTGGTTGGACCAAACAGCCTGTTTCCGTTCTGTAGGACTCTATGACTTTGACAGTTTATTTTCCATGAATTATTCACATCTCTTAAAACCAGTTTTGATAAAAACAGGTTCTCACTTGGATATCAAAACCATCTTCTCTCAGCCCAAATTTCACTCAATATCAGCAATCCAATTTAAAAGTCAAGCTTACTATGCATTGAGACTTGGGCTTGGCTCTAGAACACATCATCTCTATTCGTACATTTAATTTTCATTCATTTTCTTTTAATGAAACCTTCCCATCACACATTTACTCTACCTAACCGGTGTCTCAGCTCAGGTGCATTGAGCCTTATCTTTATTCTAACCTATCATTGCATCTCAATTTTCTTTTCATTCTGCTGCCATCCAAGTTTCAAACTATATTTAACATGTCTAGGGCTATCTTGTTCTTAAGGCCACTAAGCTGCACTTCTCTCTCACTAACCTCAACACCCGGGAAAGTAGTCCACCGATTTAATGCTTTGTTCTCATCAACGTGTATCATAAAACCATGAAGAAGGTTCATTCATTTACAAACAAAACTGCTGCCATCCACATCTGCAGTGTGAATGATTGCATTAACCTCTTGCCATTTACCATTTACAAAAGTCTCAAATAGGTTACGGAATCCGCAACATACCATTCCTAAATATGGTAAAGGGACCAGAGGGTGTACATTCCTGTTTGTGTGCAGTACCAAGCTTAGGGGCACAATAAAAAAAAAATTGTGTAAATAGGACCAAAAAGTTACAAAGGGATAGAGACAAATTACGCGAGTAGAAAAACTGAAACAGGGAGTAAGTGAGGAAATATATCATCATCTATTTTGATTCCCAGGAAGACAAATTTGAATACTTTAAGGTGAAAGATTAGGAATAATGGAGGAACAAAGAAATTTTGATGCACAAGTCACTAGAAGTTGGTGCACAGGTACAAAAAGCAGCCAAAAAGACTATTAAAATGGTGGCTGAAATACTGAGGAGAGAAACGATAGTACTCCATATGGGATGAAACTGCTGCACTATCTTCAGATTCTGGCATCCTACCTCAATGAAGGAAAGAAGTTGGAAATTTGAGGATGCTGCTCACAATCTTCCGAGCTTCCTTAACTATGACATTGAGCTAAAGGGCTGAAGGGATGCAAATATTACAAAGCTATTCGGCTCAGTTGGCTGGAAAGCTAGTTTGTGATGCAGACAGAAGCCAACAAAACAGGTTCAATTCCTGCAAAGTGAGGTTACCACGAAGGACTCTCCTTTGCAACCATTGCCCTTGGCTAAAGTATGGTGACCATCAGGTTAAACTAACACTAGTCATCTCTCTAATGACAGAGCAGCTCTATGGTCTGGTAAGACGATCGCAACTTTACCGCTAGCTTACTCAAATAAAAGGGAAAAAAGGATAGACTTAACAATTAAAAATTGGTCAATTTAACATCATATTTGGAAACTTGCATAAACTATAATCCAAGAGAAAATTAACAGCCACAAAGACAAACGTGAACCAAAGGAGCAGATTATTTTAAGGGCAATTTTATTTTATTAATTTGATAACATTTTTGATGAAACAGCAGAGAGAACGGATGAGGACAGTGCAGTTACATTTTCTATCTGACTTCAAAATGAGGTTTGATAAAGTATTACATGTCAGACTTGGTAGTAATACAAACTATGATGCAAAACAGATAGGGCAGGCTGGAGGCATGGAGCGCAGCAGGGATGGTTGCTGGACCAGGGACTGGTACGCGCAGTCAATTGCTTGCAAGGCCAGTCATTCTACGTGTGGAAGCTCCCTACGCCGATCTACTGCCATGTAATGTTTATCCTTTTAACTTTATTTCTAATTTCCTTATACTATGAATCACCAAGGTAATGTATATACTCTTCCCCTTATTTCTCTGTTTAGTATCTCAGTTTTGTATCTCGGTAATTTGTACCAAGATAGAGCCATGAGGGGCGACATTGTAAACTTTTCACTGTACTCTTGTACTTCTGTACTTCAGTACACGTGACAATAAACCTAATTCTAATACCATGAATATAAAGTTGATAGGTTATCAAAAATAAAAAGTTTTGGTGAATGGCTATTTTCTGTACCGACAGAAGGTATGAGTGGGGTTTCTCAAGGATCAGTCATACATCCACTGCTGCTTTCAATATACATCAATAGTTGAAACCCGAGGCGAGAGGCTCACTGGTACAAGTTCATATTATTAACATACGCAGATGATATAAAACTTGGAAATGTGATAAATGGTACAGAAGACAATTTGGACTTCAAGAGGCCATAAGACAGGTTAGCGGAATGAACGCATCGCAAATTAAATGCAATACTGAAAAGGGCAGCAATAACTTTTGCAAGCAAAGAGTGTACAATATGATACAATTTTAAAAGGGCTTCACAACAAAGAAACTTGAGGGCATTGG